AATCGAACCCTGACCGTTTTGATATGATGAGTCCCAAAATAGGACGATTTTATTGGGAATTCTTCTAGACTCGATGAATATATATATATATATATATAAATAAAATGTTGCAAATTAAAAAAATAATAATGTTTTTTATGAAAGTATTTATTTACATTTGATATTTCAGATCGACCTCGATCTTTCTTCAAAAATAACTGTTTTTAGAGGTTTGTTTACAAGTAGCGTCCGTCACGAGATACGAACCTCACGTGATATGGAACGCCAATGTTTTGAATATATATATATATATATATATATATATATATATATATATATATATATATATATATATATATATATATATATATATATAGCAAAGTGCAAATGAATGTCTCTAATGTGTTTCTGTACTTTAGGATTTCATTGGACTAAAATAATGACTTTCTTGAGTGAATTATTTATGTACCAGTAGTCGAAGGGTATTAAAAAACAATTAGTTACTTTAGTGCCATACGTGACCCACGCTTAGGATATTCCCGCAGTAGGTTGTCGTTTCTTTCTGCGGTAGACTGGTTGCCAACGAACACACAGTCTCTCCTGATATACAACACATAGTTGGATTTCCCAAGGTAGTTGAGCGTGTGAATATCACGAATTCGAACACGTCTCTCCGACTTCTTATTGCGAACTGATATCTGTTACACCATAAAAAGGCTACTAATCTGAATATTTTGAAGACCATTTTTCGGAATGAGAACTACAATCGGATTTCAAAGATTTTTATAGAAGAAATCAATCTGATATTTTAAAATTAGAATATATTTTATACGCAAAAGAGCTAAAAACGTAAAATAAAACATTACGTAGCAAAAATATAAAATACTGTTATTTAACAAAATTGCTTGAAAATCTACAAAACCATTTTTGCTTTCCCTATCGCTTGGAAAGGAATCTGATATTTTCATGATTGGATCAAACAGAGTGTCATCACTGATCCCGTCCACTGTGTTATGGATGCCAATTTTCTTAAACGACTTAATCGCTATAGCTCGTTTTATTTTTCTCCCACAAATTATCCAACTACATGCAAAGCTGAGCAACCCGAACAAAGTGGGATAATTGATATTTTTCCGTCTGTCTATAGCTCATCACACACACATAGAAACGTCCTGCTTTTGTTTCTGTCTTCCCCGTGTAATGACGTAAAGTAATAATTTATTTCGTGTGGAAAAGAAACAACAACAAAGTTTCAAATAAACAGCTTTTATTCATTTTTAAGCTCCTAGAAAATTAAACGCTTAGTCATCGTTGACAAACGTCTTTCGTAATTTCCTTTCATGCTGTAAAATCTGAATATCCTATTTTTTTCCTTACTGAAATGAAGTTGTACGTGCATCTTGAGTCGCAACACTTGAAAACGTTTTTTTAATCACAATACAAATAAACTTTCCAGTATTCTCTGTCTATATTTCTGAGATGAGGAATTGTAAGTATTTACATTCTTCAGACTGTTGTTCTCATCTTCATTGTCATATTCACGACATTTGGGTTTTCTTTCTGCGATATACATTGGAATTTCGAACCGGGGAGTTAAAATTTAATATCTGACGTAGCCCCTCCTTACTTTCAACATCTGATTTAACTCCCGATTCTTTTAAATATTTTGTGGCACCTGGCTTATTATTGTTTATCCCTGATAAGCACATTCTAGGTGCAGCTGGATTGACCCTCGTGGGCAGTCACTGACATCGAATGAAGCACCTGGTGACCAGGAGGGCAACACGATGATGCATTTGACTTCTCTAATGAACAACCCTTGAAACGTCTATTTTTACCTGAAGTTAGTCATATACTGTATAGTTTCTAGAACTAAACTGAGGAAAGTAACTAAAAAATAATACTGCAAGCCATTAATGAAGCACAAACCTGTAAGTATTATTGATTCTGTTGATATTTAAACGTTTATTTCCATCACCTTCAGAACCGGATAAATACACACAGAAAATAAATTTTGCACTGTTTGAGGATTTATGAGAGATGTTATCGAATATCAATCGCACACCATCAATAAAACAAAATCTATATAATAGTTTTATAGATAATAGTGTTTTATTTTTAAATTATTTTCAATTATATTTTTTCCATGTTATTTTTCCTTATTTCAAAGGAAAAGATTTTCGATTCAGATGTGGCAATTTCGATTCACTGTTGAAAACAGTTCGTGATTTCCATATTCTGTTATTTGTAATTGAATATGATTGTCAGGCACAAGTGGTTGTATTTGATATGGGCAAGAAAAGGCAGGGGAAATGTTTAGACACATTTACAAAGCGAAAGAGAGGGAGAAAACTGAAATTATTAAGAGATGAGATGTGGTGGTTGAGAGGGAGAAGACAAATGAAATTGAAAAATAAAAGTTGGTTGGAGGAAGATAAAACGTCGACAGCATAAGAAGTGAAGAAATTGAGAGAAAATGAAAAGACGCAAATGGCAAAAAATATGAATAGATATAAACATAAATGGGGAGGGAAGTGAAAGAGAGATAAAATAAAAAGAGAAGAGATCTTTATAGGGAGGGGGTTTGTAAGAAATTTTTAATACAAGAAAAAAAATAATAAAATATTGAAAAAATAGAAAGTTTGATATAGTCATGAACTACGAAAGAAAAGAGATTTTAAATTAAATATGAAGAAAAATATTGTATAGAGGAGTAATACGAAGTACAGGGATTAAAAGAAAAAGGAGGCATAATTTTCACATTTATACAAATTTAAAGGCAGTACTAGTTTGGCAACTAAGTCTCATCATTTTACAAATGAAAATGGCAGATGTAACCGTAACTATGCTAAGAGTTTATTTTTTCTCTTGGACTACTCACTTGAGAAAATCTCTTCCCGCTTGTCGCTTTCCAGTCAACTTTGAACATCAAAAAATGCAATATCAATCGTTATATTCTATCTCCTTAATTTTTCTCTTTCTTTTACTCATATTCTTTGAAACCCCTTGCATCTGTGTAACTTTATTGATTAGCTTGGGGAGAAAGGATAACAAAGGAGTGAAAATTCAAATACTTGAAACTACATTTGGAGACTTGAGTTAAAGTGAAATAACTGATAACGAGATATTAGGAAGAGGCATGGCATGTAGACTTAGAACAATCTAAATAAGGGGTTCGATCTAAATTCCAATCATCTGAAGAAGGCCCAAGCGTACAATGGCCGAATCGTCGTGAATATGATAATAAAGATGAGGACAACAGACTGAATGTAAATAGTGTAAATAAATATTGGAATATACGTACATCTCAGTTTTATCCACAAGAAAACAATTAGATATGTCATGTGGGCACTATATATCGCTAGGTTATATATATATATATATATATATATATATATATATATATATATATATATATATATATATATATATATGAATTATAAACAAGGCTAGAACATGTAAAACTTGGGATGACCCATGACCTTTGTGCCTCCATGAAAAATTGCACATTATTAAGCTTCTAAATAATAATAATCTATTAAAAAATAGACACGAGTTAACGGTTTTTGTAGACATCATCAGATTTTTGGTTTGAATTATTAGCTAAAAAAAAAGCATAAAATATAATAACTTGTTTAATCCATAGCCCAATCATCAGATTCATGGTTTGAATAATTAACTAAAAAACATGCATACAATATAACACCCTTCATAATCAACAGCCCAAATAAATAGTTTAAATACCCTACAAAAAAAAGATAACCCTTTATGAAGTCGTCAAAAAACAAACGTTACGACAGTTTTTTTATATGCACAAATCCTTTCATAAAAAAAATAAAATAAAAAAAATAAATAAATCTCCATAGACATGCAAACTAGACGATGGTTAATACATCTTCCGTTTAAAATTTAGACACCCCAACCTTTCCCTGACTTGACATCTATGAAAGTAACTCTATACTGATACTTATTATTAACACCCAACACTCGCCTACCCAATTTAAACAATTCGCCCTAGCTGTTACCATGGAAATTTTGATTTCAATTTTTAAAACACGTAAATTTCAGATATATGTTATTCCAAAAAAAATTTCGCTTGAAGATGGAACAGATCTTATTTTAACTCAATTTAATTTAAATAATTATATTGAAGTTTTCGGCTCTTGTTTTGAAACATGAGACTTCTTATGTAGCGTTTTGGAATCATATTTTTAAATAAATAATTATATATATATATATATATATATATGTGTGTGTGTGTGTGTGTGTGTGTTTTCATTAAATACAACTGAAAAGGTACTGATATTAAGCATTTTATTTAATTTTGGATGACTTCAACCAACGCTTTTATCCACTGTGCCAAGGGTCCTTGGGTACTTGACCGAAACTGTTGTGATTTCAATACCTGGCCATAGCAGAGGGAACAAAATCTTGGAAAGTTGAGTTACTAAAACGAATTAACTAAACCTGAGATATCCAAAGGCAGGTGACATGAAATTAGAAGAATATATTCCCGTGGACTAAATAAAGTTTTCGATTTAAATTCTAACGTATATCATCTGAAGAAGGTTGGCATGTATAACGGTCGAAACGTCGTGAATATGACAATAGAGAGAACAGTCTGAACGATGTAAATATTGCAAAAAAGGGTTCAACTGCTATGTAATATTAAAATTTATATAGTGCAGGGAATGCTGGAAAATTTCCTCACAGATGAAGAGAAAACTGGAGCCAATAGAAAAATGGTTCTACAAAAGGATACTGGAAATGCAGTTAAAGGATCACGTAAGCAATTCTCAGAAATCAGAAAGAGACAGTAGAAATTTCTTGGTCACATAATGAAGAATGAGGGTCGGCCAAACTTGACACTCACATGGCGTATCGAAGGCAAGAGGTATAGAGGAGGCAAGAGACCACCTATCTAACCCACTTGTGTGAATGGTTAGCAGGAAGGGGTGAAAGGGATGACAAACGGATAACATCTTCTAAGAGGTACAAGTGATAAGAAGTAGTGGAGAGACATGATCAGCTTGTTCATATCTATTTGTCTAAATCTGTATATTACCATTTTCAACTTAAGTTTCTTTTTCTTTCTTTCAGTCTAGGTATCATTCTTTTCAAATCTGTCCGTTTGCTGGCCTCTCACTTCATTATCTATCATCTATCTATCTATCTATCTATCTATCTATCTATCTATCTATCTATCTTCATCCATCTCATTCTATCTATCTATCTATCTATCTATCTATCTATCTATCCATCCATCCCCATTCTCTTCATTATCCATCCATCCATCCCATTCTCTTCATTATCCATCCATCCATCCATCCATCCATCCATCCATCCCATCCCTCCATCATCCATCCATCCATCCATCCATCCATCCATCCATCCATCCATCCATCCCATCTCTCTTCATCCATCCATCCATCCATCCATCCATCCATCCCATCTCTAATCCATCCATCCATCCATCCATCCATCCATCTTCCTCCTTATCCATCCATCCATCTATCTATCCATCCATCCATCCATCCATCTCATCCATCCCATCCATCTATCCCATTCTCTCCATTTCCATCCATCCATCTATCATCTATCTATTATTCTCTCTATCTATCTATCCATCTATCTATCTATCATCTCATTCTCTCATTATCTATCTATCTATCTATCTATCTATCTATCCATCCTATCTATCTATCTATCTATCTCATTCTCTTCATTATCTATCTATCTATCTATCTATCTATCTATCTATCTATCTATCTATCTATCTCATTCTCTTCATTATCTATCTATCTATCTATCTATCTATCTATCTATCTATCTATCTATCTGTTCACTTGTCTTCGCATATCTGTATAATTATTACTCCAATATATTTTGCTTTCCTTTTAATTAATTTTTTTATTCTATTTATTATCGATTTTTGTATTCATCTTTGTATTATTATTATAATTGTTAATAAAAAATTAATAGGGTTTCTTTAATATCGTCTAATACAACGTTTGATTAAAATGCATGGTTGTCGCATAAAATCTGACAACCAGTTTCTGTCGCAGGTTTCTAATATACTTCACATGGCAAAGCCACTAATAGAAATTTATCTAATCAATTCTTCCTAATTCTTCATTTGATCTTTTATTGTTTCGGTTAATTTATTTATTTTTTCTTTCTTTTCTGCCTTTTAAATTCTTTTTATTCTTTCTTCTTGAAACATTTTCCGTATTTTGTTTATTTTATGTGAATAGCCTACTTTTCTTTACTTTTTTTTACTCATATTTTAGCTCTTTATTCTCTATTATCCCTGTTTTCTCCAAGACTCGTTTTTTCCCCTTTCTCGCCGTCTCCATCCAACGCAATACCCATATTTTCTTTCTTTTTTTTTCTTTTTTATCTTTTTTCTTCTTCATCTTCTTTTTTTCTTCAGAAAAAGATGAAAATAGATAAAGTAAAAACCCTCTTTTTCCTCCTCTCTTCATTTTTCTTTCTTTTTTCATCTTTTTCTTTCTTCTTTCTTTTCTTTTTACTTTCTTCTCTTTCCTTTTTTCTTCTCTTTCCTTTTTTACTTCTCCTCATTCCTTTTCCTTTCTTCTTCTTTCTTTTTCTTCCTTTTTCTTTCTTCTCCTTCCTTTTCGTTTCTTCTTCCTTTTCGTTTCTTTTTCTTCCTTGGTCCATTTCCTTTCTTTCTTCTTCTTCCTCCTTCCTCTCTTTTCCATTCTTCTTGTTTTTTTCTTTTGTTTTCCTTTCTTCTTCTTCTTCTTCTTCTTCTTCTTCTTCTTCTTCTTCTTCTTCTTCTTCTTTAATTCTTCTTTTCCCTTTCTTATTTCACCTCTGGCTGTTTACGTTTCGCATTCTATGCATTCCTTTATTTCAAGTTATTACTTTCGTTATTCATCCTCATTAAATCTCCCTTTCTTCCTTTTTTCTTTCTTTCTTCCTTCTTTACTCCCCCACCCCATTATTTTTCTACCTCATTTTTATGCTTTCTGTTCAATTACGAATAATTTTTTTATTGAAGCATATGATTTGCTCACACACACATACATGTATGCATTTTTAAAATACGTATTCAGTCAATATAAACATAGATACACACACATGAAATATTTAAAACACAATTAAATATATAATATTTCAATAGAGGCTGCGTTTATTTTCAACAGTATTTTATTTCATCTACTAGCATAAAGATTTGAGAGATCATATTAAAGCAAAATGCATCCTGTGGCAGTATTCGAATCAGCGTTCCTCTTTGCAAGAGAAACCGTCGTTAGATCCGACGTGTTTTAACTAACTCGGCTACGAGGAGCGTCGTGATTAAGTAAGGTTCTATACTGCCTTTAAGCATATCTTTCTTGTTTTGATTATCGAAATTTCATAACTTCTCAGTTTCGTATCCGAAACACAAACAAAGCAATTTCTAAAGATTTTTCTTTATTGATTAATGCGGCATTTTTACTACTTTAAACGTTATTTTTAGTGGATACTCATATCTAAGTAGACTGTCCTTTTAATACGATACAGAATTTTAATTTGTCTACCGGTCTGAACATTCGAGAAATCTTATTAAAGAAAATGCGCCCACTGGCACAATTAGTTCCTTTGATTATTACGTGTTTCAAGGCGTCAGTGTTGAATGTTGGTGGAGTGGTAATAGTGATTGAACCTTTCCCCAATAATCCATATGATTTTGAGTTTGGATCAGAGCATGGTGAGAGTCTGTTAAGTTTGTGTCGAGCAACAAAGAGCTTACGAAGACTTCCATTGATAGATTAGGCGGATAATCCTTGTTACGAAGTCATCATCTATTTTTTATGACATGGTCTTTCAGGACGTAGGCGATCATGGCTCTCCACCTCTCTCTATCCTTTTCAGCTCTCAACAAGCTCTTTCCCTCTGATTCCTCCCCTAGACCACGTTCTGTCATCTACTTGTTTAAGCCCGCCAGGTATGTCATGCGTTGCTTTCCCTTGTCTCTCTTTCCCTCTATTTGGCCCGTGAGTATCAGATTCTCTAGGCCCTCCTTCCTCATTATGTGTTCCAGAAAATTCAACTGCCTTTTTTCTGATGTTAAGTATAAGCCTTCTCCGTGTTTGTAACCTCTAAAAATCTCATTGTTGCTCATATGTAAGTAGTACGGCTAATATATATATATATATATATATATATATATATATATATATATATATATATATATATAGGCTACCCAAGAAAGAGGCTGAGAGAAGAGAGAGAGAGAGGTGAGAGAGAGAGAGGTGAGAGAGAGATTAAAACAAATAAAATAAAATAACTTAAAAGCCTGCACCTTCAAACGTATATACAAAAAATGCACCTGGCACTTTGCCCGCGTCACAACACACTTTGCCCGCGTCACAACACTCACTAGTTCTGCGAAACTACCATCTGGTCAACCTTACCCTGATAATTGAGTTAAGTCGAAATTTTGGACAATGTTTCTTGTATTTTTCTTCCGAAATCTCCCCTTGTTTGAATAATGATTATTCGCAATGTGAAATGTCTGTTGTTCTTCATATTTGTCTTAATGGACATTTTCTGCCCAAATACCCAGCATATATATATATATATATATATATATATATATATATATATATATATATATATATATATATATGTGTGTGTGTGTGTGTGTGATTGAATAAATTACAGAAAATACGTCAATATCTTCATGGGTGTAAGTAATACAAAACTAGTTGTTGCCCATTAATGTAAGTATTTATACAAATTTGTGCGTTGTTATGCATTACCGTAATTTTTTCATTATGCTTTTACATGCAAAACGGTTGACAATGTGCTGAGCGTTCATTAGAACCTGAAAAATTATCCATTATGGTATTTTTTCTGTATTATAATGTCCTGGTCACTCGCGCATTAAAGCACTCCTGAAGATGATCTAAGAAAAAGATCGAAAGTACTTGGGAAACATCTATAGCCCATATCTTTCATCGTTCAACATTAATACACGGAACTTTGTGAGCGTGAACGAATTTAGTTAAAAATTAGCAGACATAATGTCTGTAATTTATACAATCAGAAATGCTTAAAAGAGATTTTTCTGCCTAAACATGCATATATATATATATATATATATATATATATATATATATATATATATATATATATATATATATATGTATGTATGTAAAAAACGAAATGAATTTAATTAAAGAAAGTAACTAATAATAACAAAAAATAGAATATTCTTAGCAACTGGAGAAATGTAGAGAACGCTATTTTCATATTGTTAACTGAAAATAAGGTCAGTTATTGTCACGTGTGGAGAATATATGTTGACGGATTCAACCATTTTCTTTTGATTTTACGATATTGTTGTGTACGTTTGTTTGTAAGAGCAGTAATTTTGTTAAGAAAGGTGAAATAGGGAA